AAATTCGGATTATATCAGAGGGAGCTTGGCAACGTCTGAAGGCTCAAATGGCGTTCTTCCTTAGCACGGCAGTATGGCTCCGGGTGACGAAAGCACTCGCTTCATCGCTCCACTGACGTAACCGCGTATCTCCGTTTCCAATTGAGCCCTGTTGTACATACAACTCTATGCTCTCCAGAGCTCAAGTGGAGATAGATAGAGATACGTCCAGTCAACTGTGCCCGGCTGGCTTGGGCTTGCCCGGTCGCGGTTACGAGTAAACCATGGCGGATTTTGCACTTGCAAAGGCAAAGTGATTTTTTATATTTATAAGACGAGGTGTGTCGTAACCGTTAATTCATCGCACATAATCACGCCGGCCGCTCGGCTCACAATCAGTTTGAAAGCTGCGAAATGCAAATTCAAGGACGCGCGAAGCTTCAGGGATCGTCGCGGCGCACAGTGGAGCAAGCTAATGCAAAAGGGCGGACATGAAATTATGGGCGAAAATTTCAGAGTTTGATGTGTATTTAGGTACAAATTCAATTTCAAGGGGAGATCCTAAGAGAGAATTTCACGAACAAATCAATAGAGCCATTTAAGAGCTTTTTTGTTCGATATTTTCGAAAATTTAAGTTTTTAAAGTTTCCAGATTTCATCCGATTTCTCCTGTGATTCGGTCCAGTGTGTGGCGTTGCAGAGTGGAAAGAGTCGATACGAGAAGTCGGTCATGGTGTGAAAATTTCAAGGAATTGTACTGACCAAAAACTGGCAAAAAGGAAAATGGCCTCACCCTTCCTTTGATAAAAATCGAGCTGCACATTGACAAAATATATAATTTGTCCCCCCCCCCCTTTTTAGGCATTATCTAAGAGATTGCTTGGGTCACAATTTCCCAGAAAACAACTTTTTTTCGACCGGGTTGCATACCATGGCCCTTGAAGGGGCTAAACCAGAAAAATGGATACTACGGGTCGGCACCATTTTTCTGCGGTCCTAATCACCCAATTTAATTCTTGTCTTTTGAACAATACTCAGAACAATCTCCTCTAAACAATCAAGTTTGCGTTTCTTTTAATTCCTCTTATAGTTTTTTTTTTTTATTTATTGAAGTTTTAAGTCAAAGTATAAAGAGAAAAAAAAGAAAATTGTACAGAAACTAAGTTATTGAAATTTTAAATTTTAACATAAAGCAAAACTAATACTTGGCTGTATACTGCCGTACAAAGGGAAAACGCCGTATGAGCCTTTAGGCGTTGCCATATCTCCTTCGATAAAAAACGAATTTACCGGGAAAATTGAGAATATTTTCCTTCCAAATTTTTAGACTATTTTGTTCGCAATTTAAGCTAAAATGTCTGAAAAAATCGAGGAAAGCTATGCATAACTTACCTAAAAAATACACATTTTATCTAGGAAAATGTGGCAACTCTCGAATGCTCATACGGCCGCGTTTCCTTAGCACGGCAGTATATAAGAACATATTTCGAGTATTTTCGTCCAAAAACGAATTAAATAGGATGAATATAGGACCCCCGAAAACTGATACCGAAGCAAGGCCCATTTTTTCGTGCTTTAGCACCTCAGAGATCAGAATGTGCAACACGCTTGATAAAAATTGTCTGGAATATCCTTAAGTGGGAGTCTAGGAACATGCTAAGTTTCAGCTTTATAGGTATGTTTTTAAAAAGTTTCAAATTCGATCAGTATAACCCTTTTAAGAGTCGTCAAAAAGAAATTGGCGAACGACAGATATGTTTTTTGCTGCCCACGTATGGCATGAGTCGTATTATGACAAGATAATTTTTCTTTCAGAGCTTGGTCGAACGCTCTCAAACCCGTTCGTATTTAGCTTAACGCGCGCGTGCTCCATCTCCTCCATTTAAATGTATGTAAAACAATCGATTCATGATTCTTGGCCCATCTAAAATCAATATTTTAAATGGATTTAAATTGAGTACTAACAGTGTTGCCAACTTGCAAGAATCGCCAATGCGACTTAAGACTGAATTCCTCTTTAAAATGAAGCGAGTCGCATCCCGGAACATAAGTGTTAAGTGAAAAAAAATATCGGTATATTTACTAAGAAAAGGGTAAAATTACCAAGAATTCAGGGTTCTATTGGATCCCAGTTTTTTCTTGGTAAAATTACCATTTATGGAATTGATAATTTTACCGACTCGGTAATTTTACTGGACCTTGGTAAAAACGCCAATATGTTTTATCGACTGTGGTAGAATTACAGAGATAAAATGGCAAAGTTACCGGGAATTGATTACCAATAAAAGTGGTATTCTTACCTGAAAAAACAGTAAAAATACCGGTTTTTAGGTAAGCTTACGAGTCTATCTTGGTAAAATTACCAATAATTGGTAAAAAAAAGTGAGATGGCAAAGGTACCAACGGACCGTGGTAAAAACGCCGAGAATTGTTTTTCAGTGCACGATGGAGGATTAGAGAATACCGCCTCACCGCGGACTTGTTTCTCTGCTTTATCGGAGACGGAAAACCCGAGTTTTCCTTCTTAAAATTGGGCCACGCTTGCCTTGGAATTTTCACTATGACCTAAACAATCATGAAGAAAAACAGGGGGAAAATTAAGAGACACGTCGCACAGTGGATCAAGTCAATTAGAGAGGTCGGGCATCAAATTTTTGACTGCAACTGCAAATTTTGATGTTTATTTCGTCATATTTTAGATTTCGAGGGATGTTTCGAGAAGAAAATTTTACGAGGAAAACAATAAAACCACTTTTAAAACCTCAAAATTGTGTAGGCACAGAGTTGTGAGCTTGTAAAGTTTTCGAATTTTGTCCGACCTCTTCCATTGCCTCGTTTCATCGTGCGTCGGCTAGAAATTTACCGCGTTCTTTGCCAAAGAACAGACACTCCATGTCTATAGGATCTGGCTTCGATTTGAATCCATCAGGTCGATAATAATTAGAGAATCCGAAAATCCAGTCTAATTGAAGGTATAACTGTGCGAGAACAAATCAAATTTAATTTGATTTGTTGTATTATTACTGAGCAAACCCATTTGTTTCACTTCTGATTTTCGAAGAATTTTGAGAGCTAATTTTTCGAATTGCCACAGCGAAACAAGTAATTAACAATGAAGAACGGGAAAATTAGGCTATTGCTGATAAAATGTTTTGCTACCAAAATAAAAAAAAGGAGGGGGGGGGAAATTGAGACACAGGCACTAACAAAAGTCGCCTGAAAATTCTACCGCCGATAGCGAGGAATAACTAAACTCCCCAGGTTTGGGATTTGACGTCAATTTTAAATCATTCGGTGGATATTAAGAAGATCTAAAAATCTAGTTCAATACTTTGAAGTATACCAGCACAGGGACGGACCGAGTTTAAGTTCAGTTAATAATTTTAAAAAAAATATATCTTGATTCTAATTGTTTAGAATTTTGAGGGCAAAGTTTAATTTTTACCACGAGAACAAGTATAGTTGACGAAATAAAGACGGGACAATTAGGATTTTGCTGATCAACATTTTTGTTAGTTTGGACGTGCATATACTGTTCTCTGGACGTTTTTTCAAATACTGAGTAATGTTCGTAAGGGGACGATCCATTCGACCTTAATGTTCCCTTCGATTATGCAATTATGAAAGACTTTTGTTTCTGACTGGTAGACCGGCAAATGAAGCGTTAAGTGGATTTCTTTCCCGTGATCAAACATAAAATAAAGTGAGCATTCAAACTTCAGAATGGAACAGAATTCAATAAAATAGACAAATAAGATGTAATAGAACAATATAAGTAGAGAGAAAAAACCAGGCAGAAACGTTAAGTAAAATAAATTATGGATCTTTAAAGGAACCAAAAATTACAGTTCCTCTCAATGCAGTTATCTGACCTATGGTGAATCCCTAGGTCAATGTGTCAAAAATGAGAAAAGAGTGAAACTGGTGCGATAAAATAATAAAATAAAACGTCTAGAAATAATAATCGTCTTATTTATTTTTACATCGATGAGATAGCTGAGGATTCATTCATTGCCAGAATTTCATGTACTCTAATTGCATGAAACTTTTCGAGTTTCAAATCAAAACCATCTCTTTTATGGTATCAATACTAATGACGCCCTAACAGTAGAGGAAACCACTCCTAACCCAACAGAATCTAAGAAGCAAAGAGCTGTGCGTATGCGTTAGAAACGTTATTTTGAAATGTTATCCAACGAAACAGTATTTTTTCCCCCATAAAATTGCGCAAAATTCTTACATAAACGTGCGGTCAATAAATGCAATGTTAAACGATAATCAGGATGAGCTCCAAGCTGTGTAAAAAAGGAAGGTAATCTGCAAGGCAAGAAAAATTGCAACTTTTTTTAATTTTACCGCTGCAAAAAAGTTCGATAAAAGGAGCCCCTTCAATTAGAAAATAGACAACACACACAACACTCCAATACACATACAATAATTTTACCTAGGTAATTGAAATTCAATGCAACCTGTGTCTCGTGGGAGGTAACATTTTACGTATTATCGTTTATGGTACGTTCATTTACCTAGTGAAGACTATTATCAAACCGAAAGGATTCAGTAGGTACCTAATAGAAAACTAAAGGCAAGCCTCCAATTAAATAAAATTGATGTTAACTATTGTGTTCCTATCCTGTTCCTACCAACCAATGTTTTTGCTTGAAGTTTTCTGAGAATTTTCTTTCGTTCATCCAAATCTTCTCTAATGAGTTACGATTAAATATTTTAATTATTTTTTTATTTTCATTATATATTTAATTTTTTTCAATACTTAGCGAAATAAATGAAATATACATAAAATAAAGACTTTGGAAACTTTGTAGTGTAGATACGAACTTTCCAACTGTACAGCCTTGTCTCGGTAGTCTAATTCATTCATTCACGCCCGATATGTGTTTTACAAAAATGTAAAATTTACACGTGAAAATTTTCCCGTTACAAGTAGCAATCAACAGCTGAAACAGAGCCATCTGAATAGTTTCCCAGTTCACGATTGCACAGAGTATCGCAAATCCACTCACCTTGATTTTAGAGGTATCCTTACGCCCAATATAAAAAAAAAACACAGGAACTAACAATAACAAAACTTAGGATAAAACTACAACATAAATTCCTAACGAATTATCTAAATTTGTATGCACTGCACTGAACGGGGGGAGGCGATTCGTTATCACCGAAAAAGAAGCGGCATTAGCACCGAGGATCTCACGGGCAAGGGATGCACTTACAGGGACAGGGTAACTGTGTCACGGAAATCGGGGTCCGCCGGATAATCAACTGAAACGCACGCACGCAACGGCACTACGGAATTTTGGAGGCACAGTAGTGGACATGATGGGCGAAATCCTGTAGCAAAGCGAAGGGATGAGTGGGAAAACACAGGGTAGAGAAGCGCGTAAACATTAACGTAAAATAAACGGACAAGCAGCAAGCTCTCCGCGCGAAGAGTCAAAACAAACTGACTGCAGCTGTTATCAGCTGTTCGCTTCGTAGCGATTACTGCAATGCTGGAGCTGGAGAAAGACCTGTGGCGCCATCTCTTGGAGCGCCGATGGAAGCTTCTCGACCGGCTCCGTCAATCGTCGCGGACGCTGCTGGTGCGGTGGCGCGTAGAGTCCCTTTACACTGAGAGTCAAGACAATTCAGCTCATGGATGTCACAAACGGGAATAAAGATTACAGAAATTGAACGTTTTTCGTAATCTTTGATCGGCCCATTCTCAAATGCCTTTCTCCGTTCCTCCTCTCATTCCGTTTGTTCCTTGCCGAACCCGTAATTCCCTGGTCCATTCCAGATTATAATCTTTGCAATTGGTGAAAATGTAATCTTTATTCCCGTTTGTGACACTGTGGAGGCCTAAAATACGGGAACCAATCAGAAATGGATTCAAATTGTCTTGACTCTCACTATAAAGGGACTCTAGTGGCGCGCAATGTGAGTTGTTTGTAACACACTTTTTCAAGTTTCCTGCGTCTCCAGGCAATTTTTCACAGACTGCGCGCTAAGGAGTAGATTTTAGACTTTTTAGACGTGTTCAACGTGATTTTTGAGCGAATGAAACCCTAGAGTGAGTATTCAGTTGGCTCTATCCCTTGCGCGCAACAAACCCACTCATACCGCACGACAACAACGTTTTTTTAGGAAATTCTACCAAATCGTGGACACGCCTGGCAGTAAAATCAGGTTTCTTAGACAATGGATTTGATTGAATTTACGATTTCACATGTCATTACTCATGGGACTTGATTTTTCGGCAGTTAAAAATTTTAATATTCGCTAGGGGTGAAGTGCACCGTTGTCACAGTGTGAACTGCCATAAATTAGATTTCGGTTGGCCTTCGCGATCCCCAAGAACTATTTCACCACAGGTGGGTCCAGCAAACTGGCAACACCGGATTTCTTCCTTTTGAGTAATCGATTTTGTTGACCTTTGTTAAATAATCGATTCTTGTCGGGGCACCTGGCCGCGAAAAGAATCGATACCTTTCCATAGGTTTAAATGCGGAAATAACAATGTTACCTACTAATTTGCTGGATCCGCTAATGTATTTCTTCTCTATTGACAATAATGAGGAATATCGGCTGTCACTTCACTTTCTTGAAAAATGGTGTCTCCCGAGACACGTGTTTCTAGAGTTTTGACAGAAGTTTTTTCGTGTTCATCACTCAGTTGCCTCCATATTCGAGCTAGCAACTTTTATGAGAAAAACACTCTGCGTTCCTTGACCCTGTTTGGAAATACTGGACGGAACATTAAACGCGAAGAAAACAAATCACTTCAACTGCGTTCGTTGAATTTGACGGCAGGAAATTATTGGGAGCCAAGGACAGCTCTCAGGAAGAGGCAAAGGAGGCAGACTGCCTTGTTTTCTTGCACTTCATATGGACATCAGACATTAATTTGACTTATTTTGAAAGAGGACATCACTGTTTTACCTCGTCAATAAGAGTGCCTCCCTGCATAGGAAGAATATGTGGTACTTGTATTGTTTTTAAACTGAGGCACGTGTATGAGCGCCTTATTGACAACTCAAAACATGGATAAAACGATGCCAAATAATGAAAAGGCTGTATATACAGGGCATACTAAAAATTCCGCATAATATCAAGCTTTTTTCATAGTTATCTTAAGACCGCGGGGACGAAGAGGAAATCGACCCCAAGGAATGCGAATGTCATCCTCTCAAAGCCCCCCGCGCGTCTGTGCGTCTTTAGAGGTTAGGGGAGTGAGAGCTGAGGTCCTGATTTTGAATAGAGAGGATCCTGTAAACATTTTGAAATTACTTAATCAAAATCGGAAAGTTCAAGAACCTAAACCATGATCGGTAACAAAAAAATCAAAATCCGGCCCATTCCTGACCCGAATACACCCCTAAAGTTGGGAAACTGAATCCCCCTCGACAAAAAGCAAGGGAGATGGAGTGACGTGGAGGTCCGAAGGTCCGAGGGGAAGGTGCTTAAGCAAGTAATTGACCTCGAGAAATATGAATTTGACGGTCTTGTAACCCCCCTCCCCCTAGTCTTTACTGATGAGTAGTGGGTGGTCCTGAACTTGTTATCCTTATTAGCAACATTATAGGCAAAATGAAATTTAAGCAAATTTGATGTTGTAATTGAAATCGATAAATAATTTAAAATCGGCCCATCTCTAACCATAATTTTTTTAGGTGGCAAAGGAGTATTGTGGTTAGAGATGGGCCAATTTTACATTATTTATCGATTTTAATTAACATTTCCTACGCTTTCTAATTTTGTTAAAATAATTTCAAAATTTGCAAGGGAGCCCAAACTTTCACAGCTAGGACCACTTTTTATGGGTGCCCGGGGCGGGGCTTCGGGGGATGATGGAAGGATGCCATGGGGTAGATTCTCTAGTCATCCCCGCGGTCCATGATTATTTCCGGCATAAAATGACCGAGAAAAATGCATGGTGCTTGCTAAAGGTAGAGGCTACCCTGTATATACGGCAGCCTTGTTTCGCAAGTTGTTTATTCCGTTTATCGTTGCTATAATCTAACATCTGTATACGCCGAAGAAATAAAAATGCTGAAGTACATCGCCGATGTGAAAAATATGTGCGACAACCCTTGAATGTAGGTATACTAACATTCATACATGAACGCTACGGTTGTTAATCCAACCTAACTACGATAATATTTTAAGAGCCACAGTGTTCATAACAAAATTGAAGAGTTTACGCGCATATTTAAAAAATCTTGGGTGTTACTTCAGCAACTTTTTTTTTTCTTCGGTGTACTTACAGACTATGTAATTTGAGCGGTTTCCTTATTGACAAATGCGGGCCTAATAATTTGTTTTCTCTACTAACTCTGAAACCAATATAATAGTTCAAAGGCGAGAGTATCGGCGGAGAGAGTAATACATGAATTTCTAGTCCAAGGAAAATCATATTTCAAAATATTTCAGTGCAGTGAAGCAGTTGTGCTGTCCCCCAGCGAATAGTCACGACTGACGAGTTGCTTCCATTGGCAACATACCACGCTGACGGTAATTTGGTACCATATTTTTATGACGCCCTCCCCATAATATTTCTACAACGTTTCTGCCCCTTTTTTTGAACCCTTCTCGTTGAATTTCCTGTGTTGAAACCCCTCAGAAATCCGCCCGTAAGGAAAATCCAATACATAATGTCTGTCAAATTTCATTACGTAGTATAATTCCTATTTTTTGCGATGGATGTGAGCACTGCAACGTCTCAGAAAAACAACGTGATCAAGAAAGATCGCAGCCAATTGTTCTTGCTTGCTCTTCGAGTTTGTCACTACACAATCCAACAATCCGAACGAAAATTCTTTCACATAGTCGATTTCAACTCTGATCCGACGGTGCCTATTTTGATTGAAGCTCTACACAAGGCATCGATCCCATCTGTTTTAATAACGAACTATTGTGGTATAAACGGTTCTATAAACTTAAGGGCCTAAGGTGCTAGTTATGCCTTTCTTTACTCACTATCGATATATTCTTTCATTTTGCGTCAATCATGCGTGATTAAAATGATTTATACTTCATATTGCCACCAAAATGACTGTTGGGCGTAATAATGGCCTATAAACCGTTTTTTTTAAATTAAATATATTAGAGTGTAAACCCAAAATGTATCGCAAAATCCACCCGGCATCCTTCAATAGAAGGGTTAGGTCACCCAAAAACACCAAAACAGGGTACCTGCATAGAACAGTCTGCGCAATAAATCAAAGACAAAACTTTAAATACGTTTTTCTCAAAACGCGGTTTCCAGTTATAGGCTGTTCTCGGTGCGGTGTCCTCAATTGAAATAGCCTTCATACACGCTGGCCTTGTCGATTTCCTTTGACAATTCTGCAGTCGTGAATGCATAGCTGAAGTGCGTTCCAGCTAGAAGTGTATTTAGCAAATGGGTGGTTTTTATACGAGGATCCCATCCCATCCCACCTATAATAGTTACCCGACTTATGTCGTCAATTCTTTCGTTCACGATAACTATCGTTAGATTAACGTTAGCTTCTTCTTGTAATTTTGTCCAGTTTGGTCTTATGAGGAACTGTATAGATTTTCGGTTAAATCGCATTTACCGTTTACTTATAAACGACAGTTAACGTAAGTGCCCTACTTACGCGATATTCCCAGCGGATTCATTAAATCCTAAAAAAATACCCCGCATTTCATCTCAGTATTGCGGCACAGACGCAATTTTTCGAGCAGTCTTAAAACCGTAAGAAATTACGCGTAGTTAACCTCAATATCGCGCAAATACGCGGGTTCTTCAAAAGTTAAGTACAAATATAAAATTTACATGCTTCAAAGTTTTAGATGAAAAATGTATGAGCGTGTGGATGGAAATTGTGTCAAGCCAGAAAATTAAAACGACGTACCTTATTAGAGGCTCGTAGCTATCAATCCTGAAACAGAAGATGAAACGATCATTATTGTAACATGTTGCATTGAAATGGAGAAACATATTTATAACATATGTAACCTGATTCACCTCATATCACGACACAAACGCAACATATCCGGCGGATGCTTAGGAAGGTGACGGACCAGAGTATTGCCACGTCAATATTGCGGAAAATTCGCGAGTTTTATATCCAGCCGAACATAGAATTCATAGTGTCCGTAGATGGTGATAGATATAAAGAGCTATGATTTTCCTTCAATTTCGCGTGATACCACATAACTACTCCGGAGTTCGAATAGTTGCTCGCTTGGTTTCCGTTTGTTAAAAAGTGAGAAATAACGCGCTTTTCTATCTCAGTTTCGCGGAAAATGCGTCATTTTTTCAGCGGGTGCGGTACATCCTAAACGATTACTTACTTTTCATCTCGACATCCCCGAAAACGCTCGATTTTTCCTGCGATTCCGAACGAAAAATGAGAAATTACATGATATTCTTCTCAATATCGCGGCAGATAGATACGCGATTTCTCCAGCGGTAATATAAAATAGATAAAAACTACCGTATTCATGTCA